GCATAAATTATCTTAAGACGAAATCCGATGGGAAATGGAGCAATTTCAGTTTTTAATGGACAAAAATCTTCTACCAGAATAACTTTAAGTAAAGTACAGTCATTTTTGCATTATCTAAGAGATAAAGATATAAATAGTTGCCTGAAATAACACCAAAAACAATTTCTCATAGGAAATCGAGAAAACAAATTTCAAAGTTCTGACAAACTGTGTAAACACAGGTAAAATTTCAGTTTCATTTCACCAGTGCTTTCGAGCGTTTGGCACATAAACTTCAAAATTTGTTTTCGACGTTTGGTGTTTCGTGTAGTGTGATCGCCCGGGTGAGGGTAGTTCTGAAAAGAACTGTTGGTGGTGTTGGTGTTGTCACCAACAACAGCTCTTTTCAAAACTACCCTCACCCGGACGATCACAATACGAACTACTGATACTCCTGGGTTCAAACCATTTACTATATATGTTACGTTTGGTGTTTTTAGAAATAATTCCTTTTGAGAAGATATTTAAAACAGTCGCACAGAAGTTTGCAATACAATGCAAATACCCTCGGTACAAAGTTTGTGTCCGCTTGTTTATACTGGAACTTGAGAAGGATTGATTCCTTCTTAACTTGTAAAATTGAGTAAACTTGTAAAAGTGAGTAACATACTTATTGCCGTGTAACATAACGTAAAGTCAGATACAAAGAGTGTTCATAACAGAGAACAGAAGTCGCTTTGTTTGATGCAATCCTGCTTTAAATGCTAGGCTCGACGACAATTCAGTCCATAACATTAAAGGTCTCTTCTGCACGTGATCAACAATAATTCAGTCTTTCTTAACTGTCAGTAAAAATTTAGGTCGAAACATGGTCCGGTACTACTCACATCCTCCTAGCTAATATAAATAGAAATCTGTGGAGTGGTGTAAGGAGAATCTGTTTGTTGAGACATGAGAGCGAATACAACGGCCAAAATCACGCGCATCACGCTTGACGTAGTATTCATGCATGCGTATCAATGCGATTCACGCCCTAATGTAGATTGATTCATGATATCATGGACTCCATAGCCAGTGGTGTAGGCAGGTTGTGTAGGCGTATTTTGTTGGTAGGCCTGTCCCGATAAGGCGATAGTGCTCGACAACTTTTGAGCAACTTTTGGCGTTTGGAGCAACATTTTCAGCGGTTCTAGCAACCTCGTTTTACCTTTCCAAGCAAATTTTGAGCAAAATATAGGTTCAGAGCATATATCAACATGAAAAAGGCAACGATTTCATGGAAAACTTCAATGTATGCGGATTTTTTGAATGCTTATCAACCTTTGGAAGTTTGCACAAATAACCTGTCACCTGACAACGTTGGGCTAGACATCAAATGGACCATGTCTTTCGTTCCGTTAGAGTTAAGGTTGTCCTTAAATTTCGCCCGTATTTGCAAGCAACTCTTTAAAGCTTAGTTTCAAGCCATTTTTCTTGAGCGATGTTAGCCATTGCGAGGAACAAAAAATAAAACTTTTCATTAACGTTGATATAAAAATATCAAGAAATTTAAGTAGCAAATTTAGAAATGCAGGTAGCAGCCTTTCGGCATTCCAGTTAGCAATTTTCCAGCATTCAATGAGCACAATCGGAGGAGTGATGGGTGAGGCTTTGCTGCCATCGAGGGTTTTCGCCAACACCCTGGGTTATGAAAACATTGGAGACTGGGGATAGTTTGAAAATTAGCCACCTCACCGAATTGAATGATAAAGCATAGGAAAAGTTCACTCGTATGGCATGAAAATTGCACTAATCGCTGCCTCTCATACGGCCGGTGCACCTGAAATTTGAACTGACCAATCAGGATTCAACAGGCGGCAAAAACCGCGCTGTCCTGACTGACGTCAAATGCATGTTAACTGGAAAGGCATAGAAGTCTGCGACT